ACTGGTGCTAAGGCTTACAGTGCTTAATGACAATGCATAATGCCTTACCTTTTGTTCAAAAAGGCGGATATAGAGATACCGACCACTATGTTAGCGAAAAGTTGGGAATGCACCAACTCCGAGGTCCTGACAAGAATCGTTTGTCGAAATGCATTTTGAAAAACTACTAACTTTCGAAAACGAGTTCAAATCACTCTCATCTAGTTTTTATTTTTCTGCTTTTGTACTCCTTTCATTCCTATATCATTTTACCCTTCTAAAAGAAGAATAGAACAAGATTAATTCCTTCACTAATTTTATGATGCCCAGCATTTCCAACGGGATTCTTAACGGTGTTTTGAGCATAGTTGCGATATATCGTGACTATGCCACTTAGCTATGGATGCCACTGAGACACGGGAATATGCCTCTCTCAAAGCGAGCTGGGTCTGTTCCCTTTTCATAGATCCTCACTTCTTTTTGTATTCCAATTCACCCACTTACCTCCAGCTGGCGCCTTATCACTGAAGCTCCTCACCCTATCCGGAGGCGACCAAAAGTGATTAATGGAAGACCGCTCCTTTGCCAACCTAAGAGACTTCATGCGAGCGAGCCAGTCAGCTACATTGTAGTGAGAATGGCCAGACAACTTATCAACTGTTGCCTTCTCCTCAGCGTCAAACGGCATTTCAGATTTTGAGTTCTGACTATGATTGGAGGAAGACCACAGGAAGTCACACTCTCCTCTCACTGGAGCACTGCGCGGCCGATTGGAAATCACGGTGGTATGCAAGTGGCCTGCTGGTAACACCAATAATAAATGACAGCGTGGACAGATCAAATCTGTCATGTCGACCGAAACCATGATTAGGCGGTCACAAGTGCAGCGAACGAATCGGCGGTCCGGAGGAGGAGGACGGATGGGCTTGGTCAAATTCGAAAATTTGAATTTATAAATCAAATGAAAAGAATAAAAGATTTTCATCACCCAGAAACTCTGGTTGCTTGTAAAGGGCGTATTTTAATGAGCCTTATCCTATAAACTCTTCAAAGAAATGGTAATTTCTAGAATAATCAGATTATAGATTTAGTAAGACACAAAAACGAGACCCTTACGGCTTTTACCTTCTGAAACACTGTAAACATAATGTAGAGTTATGACATGAGCTGAAAGATTTGCATGAAATAATATATTGAGATATTATATTAGCCAAATATTTTACAAAAGCAGTATAATTCTTATTTTTATTTTATAAGTAGGGCTTTGAGACTACCAGTAAGTCAGTTATATGAGATGTATTCACCCTACTTAGTTTAGGGTGATAAAGGACTGGTACTAAAGTTTTTCCATAATAATATGAGTAGAGCTGATATTTCCTTTCCACATATTTTTTGCTTTCTCAAAAAGTGTTTTCGTCAAGGGAGGACTGCAGTTTTGACCTCGCCTAAGTCCTATCACCACCCCCAACGGGAGCCGAACCATGACAATACATCCTTTAATCTCGACACGTCAACAACTATGAACATTTTCACGAGTCCCCTTAGGTCACAGGGCAGATATGAATTTCATGGAAGGTCAAGCATTTTCCATATCACATTATATGTTGGGATTGTCGATAGAGCAAACTTATATTTGCTATAGCAATCGACGACATTATTTTTTTGTCAGTAGATCAGTAAATCAGATATATGAGTTGTGTTCATCCTATTTCGCTTAAGGTGATGAAGGACTTGTAGTTAAATTTTCCCATAATTATATGAGCAGAGCTCACGTTTTCATTGAATTTCGCATAGCCTGTCTTTCTTGAAAGATCTTCTTATCCGGGGTGGACTGCAGTTTCGACCTCGCCTAGCTCTGATGAACACCCCCAGCGGGAGTCGAGCCATGACAGTGCAGACACATTGTCACGGAGCCAATGAGCAAGAGAAGGATGCTGGGTTAGCCTAGAGTCTAGCTATGACTATCACACTTCCCATGAAATTAACATTACATACACATAATAGGCTATAGCACAAGCCCAAATATGATTCAACATTAGAGGATCGTAGACTAGTTTATTTGTGTAATAAAACAGAGACTAAATAACGGTTACTTATTTAAGATCTACTAATGATACTAAATCCTATTCTGAATATAAGTGATATTTTAGATATTAATAGCAAATACAAGTTTACTCTATGAGCAATCCAACTACAAAATGTGATGTAAGAGAGGCCCTTGAAATCCACGCCTTTCGAATGACTCACTGGCATTCGAAGATTAGTTGCATAATAATAATATGCTGAAAAGAACACTGAAGTACCAGAGCTCGATTTCCGCTGGGGATACGAATGAGGCTTATATGAGGTCGAAACTGTATTCCCTTCACGAAAATACCTTTTGGCAAAGTTAATCCTAGTCAGAACATTCATGAAAAATCCACTTATCAGTCATTACTCATCCTATGCAACTTGGGCAAACACACTTCCTATTTAAGGCCTCATATTATGAAAGTAAGACTAAAAATACAAATTGCTTCTGTAGTAGGAATGATTATATCTATCAATATTTTTGAAAATTATATATTTTATAGAATATTTACTTATCTCCGTAATTAAAATAAGTCTTTAAATTAAACCAAAACGCTAGAAAAAAATTTTCAATGGAAAAAAAAGGCAATTTTCTTCATAATTTTTAGAAAGCTATGTTAATATAAACCAAAGTAGGCCCAAAAAACTTAAAGTTAGAAAAGTATGATTCTTTAACCTAATTTTTACAAGAGGCTTGTATTTTTACAAAGTCTCCGAAATATCAGTCAAGTTGTTATCCTACATGAGAAGGTAGACTGGACATAAAAAGACGTTTTACAAGCATCACGATCCATATCGTAACTGAATTAATCATTCTATAGCACAGAGCTACAAATCCCTAGTTTAGCACCTTTGGATATCTCTGGTATTCTATATAGCAGGTTATCTATGCCTTACCTATCTCATATCTCTATCTTCATCCCTTATTCCCACTTAATTGGCAAAGTCTCCTCTAAATCCTAATTTTTCTCATTGATAGTTTTCCGGTATAATTAATGCGTGCGTCTCTTAGAGTAAGTTACTTGATCGTAGTCAGCGCTTGCTCCACATCCAAGATTTCCCTACCTGAATTAGTATCATTGCTCGGAATTCCACTTGCCAACATATATCAGCTTGCTTTTAATGTCTTTAACAAGTCCTATCGTTTCATATCGTTTAACTACATTCAGCTAATATATGCAATCTTATTTTTCATACTCGAGGAGTAAGTTATGGGATTTTATGCAGGATAAGCCTTTCTATGACTTGGTAAAAATGCTAGTCTCCAAATAAGTTCAAACCTATCAAAGGAAAGGTGGCTATGAAAAAGCTAAAGACCATATCATAAATATTATCATAAAAACTAAAAGATTGACAGAGTAATTACACATTATTGTAAGCAGATGATTAAATTACAAGATTACTTATGATTTCTGACATAAAAGACCATAACGTTAAATAAAGGCCAGAATCTAGAAAAAAATTTGATAGCCGTCAATTAGCTATAGAAAACATTTTGTATTACATGCTAAAATAAATTATACTCTATCCTAGCTAATAGAGAGCTAGTTAGTGAGAATCGGAGTATAAAGCTTATAGGAGTGATATGGTAAGTAATCAATATTATGAGCCCTGATAGGCGAAAATTCAGAGCGCTACAGAACTACTCCAAAACGTCTAAAATCAATGAATAACTAAAGAATATAAGTTATAGGATTCGTAAAAATTTTATTAAATATAACTTATAAGTATAGGCAGAAATTCTTTGATAAGCCAAATTATTAGGATTTCTGAAAAAGTGACTTTCGGTTCAATTCACCATTTATTTATAATGTGAGACCACTAATAAAAATAAAAATTTCTTTTATTAAAGTTGGGACTTATGTAATTAAGATTCTTTAACTTAAGAAACGCACCTCCAATATAGGTCATTATAAGTTTAATTACTAAAATGTTTTTTTCGAAATTGCAGACATTCATCACTTTTGATTAATGGTTAATTTAATTAATATAAGCTTTAAAAATTACCGTTTATTACCGTTGCTTCACCGCATTTAAGACATAATACAGCAATAATTGATTCGATTGGCTTTGTTTCGATTAAGCCACCACAAACTTGACAAAATATCAACTTTGATAGTTTATCAGAAATTGAGGATGGCGGGGGTCGAACGACCGAAGGAATGCAATAAGTATGTTTTATTGAATTTGTTAATTCGTCGGATTCTTTCGTTTTTGATTGAGTTAAATGTTCATCTGCACTCATTAGGATAGAGCCCTACACCTATCGCAGAAACGAGTATACCTCAGAAGAATCGCGCTTCTATACACATTTATACAACAAATTGAGTAAAAATGTTGACCTTTTTACCCATATAAATTTTTAAAAATTAATAAAAGTTTAAAGCGCTTTATTGATTTTTTTAATTTGATAAATATTTTGAATCTTAATACGAGTCTGACTATTAGCTAAGAGAGTTACTTAAATTATGAGAATATCTAATTATACACTCATCGCCATTCTTTCACTTTGATATAGACGGCTTTATTTAAATAGTTTTTCTCTGTCTTAATTCGTATGAGTTGATTTGTTAACAGCTATTAGATACGATTCTGACAGATTTGATGATAGTTAAGATAAATTGAAAGGTTATTTACTTATAGTTATAATATTAATTTTTATATATAGAGGTAGTTAACTATTTTAATTTAGGAAAGAAGACTGCTTTTTAATGCGAATTGCTTAAATATGCTTTAGCCGATAATTTAGAACATATTTTTTTGTTAAATCTGAGAATATATATAAAAGTTTACTTGAATGTTTTTATAAATTTAAAAAACTCAAAAACTCATATTTTTTACTGGCTACGTTCATAAGCTTACATTCAATTGTACTATTTACTTACTTTTCGCCGAATTACCTATTATATAATTTCAAAATACATGATATTTGTAGGTAAGTTATGATAAATTTTGTTTCTGCATTTACATATACACCCTAGTAATTCCTTCTATAAATAGAGTATATCTGTAAATAAAAATCTAATTATAACTACCAATCGTGTAAATTTGATTTAACTGCAACATTTAACAAGCTTCATCTAAATATTTTTT